ACAATGTGTTAGTTATTGAAACTGTCCATTAATCAGTTTTGAAACTGCCTCATTGCTATTTTTTTTCTCAATAAAATAAAAAATAATTAATTTTATTGTGAATTTTTAAGTATATTTACTGCCTTTTTTGTTTGTTTAAAGTTGTATGTTAAAATTTCTTACTGTAATTTTGGATTGATTTCTCTTTATCTTTGTTTTGCTGTGGTATGAGTTCAAACGAATGATTGGGTTTTTTTTTTTAAAGCTATAGTAAGGAAGACTTGTAAGGGAAGCTCCTGCAATGGGAATTTGTAGCAGGGGAGAGAGGTTTGGCTCAAATGTATTTAGCTGCTTTTTTTTTTTCTTTTTTTTTTTCAGTGCCAAGGATTGAACTCAGGACCCTGCACTTGCCATTCAAGTGCTTATTCTACTGAGCTATCTCCCTAGCCCCTAGCAGCCTTTTTAATCATTATATAATTTTCCTCTATCTCTTTTAGAGCTTTTCTCTTTGCTTTGTCAGATGCTACCTTTATAGTTATGAGCAAGTCATTTAACCCCTCAGTTTCCTTGTTGCAAAAAGGGTTCAAGTATAGTACCTGCCTTACACAGTTTCTGTGAAAATTCATTGAGAAAATGTATGCAAAGAATCTTGCATATTTTTCATTGAATGTATTTAAAGTACTATTTTTGCTTTAAGGCTTCTGCTTTCACCCCCTCCCCCATACAATACCTAATTTTAAATGCTGTTTGTTTGTAATTGGAGGTATGTTTAAAGGGTACAGTAAAAATAGTTCTGAGTATTTTTTAAGTAGGTGAAGGTCATGGAATGTTGTCTTTTGAACTCAGGATCTGACAATTCTTAGTACTTGGGAGAGCTTTAAGTTACTGGGCTTTTTTCTCTCTCTTTTTTTTTTTTGTGTCTACATTAATTGTAATGCATCCAAGTATCTTCAGTATTCTTCTATCTTTTTAAAGTAGTTGAAACAACTGAAAAAGGCAAAAGGCCCAAATGCAACCTTTGGAGGTGCTCACTTTCCTAGAACATTTGTCAAACGTCAATGGAATGTAGTTATCGGGAAGTTTTCAACTCATTACTATTTTTAGACTGCTGAATATGTAGAGAGTCTATAAAGAAGTGTCATATACTTTAAGGAAGCAGAAGTATGTACTTTCTTTTTTCTGATGACATTTAAAACATTTCTGTTCTAAATTTTTATCGTCCATTTATATAATGACTGTGTCTTATGTGCTTCCTATAGACCTGATAGCTTAGACTTAAAAATATATATAGAAAAGAGAAAACAAAGTATCAGCTGAGAAAATAGCATAAAAGTTTAAAAATATGTGGCATATATATATTTTGTGACTAGATAGTCAAGAGTTGAGAGGTAAAATGTTTTGGAAAGTTCAAATGGTCAGTCTCTGCAGGACCTTGATAGTCATGTTGAAGAAATTTTGAGTTTGTTCTGTAGATTAGTCAAAACCACTGAAGGCTTCTGGGTTAAAAAGATCAAGTTACATACTTAAAGTATATATGATACAAGATTATACACAGGCTATATGTAGGAAAATACTTTAGCAGTGTTGAGAAATAGAAAAATACAGTATTATGATTAAAGTGAGCTCATTTAAAGTGTTAATATCACTGAATTAAGAGCTTTGATTTTAGTTTTTCCCTGCGGTGTTTTAACACACATACTACTTTATTAGTGAGCTCCTACCAGCCTACCTTATATACAAGAAGGTTTTCCTTCCACCTTGCATTTATTTTCTTCTTACAGCATTTATTGCCAGAACTTTTAGTTTGTATAAACATTTGTTGGTTGTCTGTTTCCTCCCTAAGATTATAGAGCACTGTGAGAGCAAGAATTGCATTTGTTAAGTACTCCTTTCTGTACTTGGAACGACACCCAATTTGTAACCTTTAATATACTTGTTAAATGAGGGAATAAATATTCAAATCCAGATAATCACAGGATTTTTTTAATGAATTTAGGACAGGGTCTACAGGTTGTACAGGGTCTCACTATGTGAATCAAAATCGTAGTGATTTTCCTGATCTCACCCTCCCAAGCCCTGGGATTACAGTCTCCATCACTGTCTCAGTGTGCCCTGGGGGTGGGCTGTCACTGCAGTCCTGGGGATCAAGCTCCCGGCCCCTGCATCTGCCTAAGCTGGTGCTTTAGTCCGCGAAGCTATCTGGCCAACCCACCACAGTTTTTAATGTCATTTGTAAATGGGACATGGTGTTAGCACTTTATATTAATTCTTGTTAAAAATTATTTTTCCTTTTCCTCCAGAATTTATATTTAGAGCACCAATCAAATTGAACAAGCCTGGAGAACATTGTGAGGAATATGAGTGCCTGAGAAAGGTAGAGTATACATATTATCGTGACTTTTACTTTCTTAAGATAAATTGAAATAATTATGATTTATTGGATTTTGAAAATTTACAGTGCAAAACCTGTGTACCTTCACACTATATTATACTATATGTATACCAGCCCAATTAGATTGGGAATTACAATAGAAGTAAACTTTAAGAGTGTCTTTGAGTTGTGTTTTCAGAGATAAAAATATAGCTCAGAGGGCCTATCATACACCTGTTAAAATAACTAGCCACCAAGAAAGGATTTTCGATTCATTTAACAAGTAGCTTTGCATCTAAACATGTAAAAATAAAAGATTTTTAATCTGCTTATTGAGGAAGTTGGTCAGTCATCGAACTTGTGCATCATATTAAAGGTAGATATGTGAGGGCTGGGGAAAGGTCCTGAGTTCAATCTCTGGTACCAGAAAAAAAAAAAAAAAAGAAAGAAAGAAAGAAAGAAAGAAAGAAAGAAAGAAAGAAAGAAAGTCAGTCTTAGCAAAAATGGATATGTGAAATTTACCTCTGGCTGTGCCTGAGAGCAGCCTGCAGAACCATTTACCTGGAGAGTGAGCACAGCTGGCACCCCGTTGCTGAGCTTGCAGGGATGGCGCACCCCAGGCGCTTTCAGTCACACAGCAGGACCTCAGGCTGTAGACTTCAGCAGCACCACTGACCACAAGTTAAGTGATCAAACTGACCTGAAAAATTCTATACCCTGGTTTGATCAAATTTGTTCTCTTATGCCATTCTGCCTGCAAGATATAACAGTGCTTTTAAAGTATATAGAAAAAGTCAAATCACGTAAACTGATATGAGAGAAAAACCAGTGCTGCTACTATGTATTGTACCTTGTTTGAAATTTAGAGTAATATTTCCCAGTTTGATAAGCTACCTTGGTATTTGGGTCTGCAGAACAAAAATTATGTTCCTGTCACTAAGTATGGTTTTCTAGAAGGACCGATACTTGGGACTCTTACAACTAGTCTTTGTTACAAGTTATTTAAATAAAATGAAATACTTTTCTTAAAAAAAGTAGCTTTGCTGATAATTGCCTGTATTATTTTACATATCTTGAAAAGTTACTTCAATGAAATTTATTGCCTTTTATTGCTTTAACTCTATGAAATAGTACTTTGGCAGAACTGTATTGGAGGTCAGTGAGTGGGTGAGGAAATAATTTCCCAGTCAGAAAATTTTGCCATTTGCCATAGGAAGATTCTAGTTTTGTCCACATAATCTTATTTTTATTGTTTTCAAATTAATTGTCTGGGACGCCCCATAGAAGGCTTTAAAAACTTTAGGAAAATGAAATTTGAGGTATGATAAAAATACACAATGAATATTCAGATTTTTAAAATGTTATTACAGCAACAGACACCTTGTCTTTAATTCTTCTCTGAATACACGCCCTTACTTCAGACACACTTCAATGCTTTTATCTTTTTCTTGAGTCTTTCTCAAGCAGTTATAGAAGTTCTTTCTTATGAGCTTCTTTAGTTGCACTGACATAACTGCCTTGATTTCTTCCATCTATTTGAAATATTTACCTTTCACAGTCATTTTGATTTTTTATTTTGAGGAAAGGCTAGAAGTCACACGATGCCAGTGGATAGAATAGAGGACATACGATAATGTTTTATGAGCCTGCCTTTCCATTGGATGGCACTCAGCAGCAGCCTTCACCATGTTTTTAATGAAAAAGGACTTCCAGAGCTGGTGCAGAAAGTGGCAAGAACAGTGGGATAAGTGTGTTCAAAGAGAGGTGGAATATTTTGAGGAGGGGCAATAGCAATGTATCTTTTACTGTTGTAAATTTTTTGTTTTAAAAAATTGGCTATATGTTTCTATCATACCTTGTATGTTGCTGGATTTGTATCGTTCTTCCTTAGTCCTCTCCCTGTTCTCCCACAGCATGGATTAATAGTAATCAAACACACTAGTTTTATAATAGATTAGGGAATAATTCTAAATGTGGGTATTCAGTAATTGGTAAAGATAAATGATCTCCTTAACCAGGCATTATCATGAAACAAAAGTGAGATGACAGTGATACTGCATTTTGTACATTACTGGGAAAAGATAATGGAAAACTGTAATTATTGTGTACTGATTGGCGTTCTCTTTTAAATGAGAGTATTCAATGTTGACTTGGAGCTTCATAATCCTTTCATCTTGACATTGTGAGCTTTAAAATCATTTACAAAGAAAAAAACTTTTTGCAAAGAGCACATCAGAAGAACCTCAAGTTCTTAAATAAAATTTCAGAGACCCAGTCCTAGCCCAGGTCCGGTGAGTGTGTGGAGAGCTTCTTGCTACCTGCGCCGGCGGGACCAGTCCCAGCCCAGGCGCA